ATTCTCAAGCCAGAAAAATATGCTGAGAAAAGTAAGAACCAGAAAGAGAAATGAATGGCTTTCCTGAGAATTTAGAAGTGATGAAGCTCTTGTGACAACTCCTTGGAAAATGGTCAAGAACGGATCCTTTTTGGAGCAAGGAAAAAGGCACCCTGAGCCCCTAATGACCTTCCTGCCCATGTATCATGAGTCTCTAGCAGGATCCAAATTCTCCTCTGGCACCAATGGAACATCCTTCTGAGTCACTTTCTGAATATGCTGACACCAGTGGAGTCATTTGACATCATGAGGAAATGCTGTATTACTAAGTGTAATCGTGTCATATTTCAAATGTCAGTACATGTGGATGTGTAGGTGGTCCAAATAACATATGCATATTTTGACACTGAGGATCACAGAACTTATTGTCAATAGAAAATAAAAAAGGGGAGGGGAGAGAAAGAGAGAGATTGCTCCATGTACTGAGGCTGAAAGAGACTTTAATGGCTCATCTAATTCAATCTTCCATACTTAAGAAGGATTAGCCTTAAACCACAGCAACCCATTAGAAATCATCCCTCTTCTGAAGTAACTCTTGAGAAAGAGATTCTAAACCTCCCGTAGAGTTTAGGGAAAAATTAAAACAAATAAAAAGAAGATTTATGACACTAATGATCAACTAGACAAAGCCACATAAAGAAAAAATGTCCTACCAAATCATAAAGGACAAGATACAAGCAGATTGCTTGTGTATTGCTACTTTACAATTTCCAGGGATGAAATTGCTGTAATTATAAAATGCAATGATTTTTAATGAGCAAACTTAATAAATTAATTTAAATGATTGTGCAATCATCATTATACTCCAGTCATAGAATATTTCCATTACCCAAATCAACTCCTTCAAGCATATTTTGCAATCAGTTTCTGTTCCAAAAAACCATGCGGATACATCCTGTCTCCAAAGGTTTGCCTTTTCTGAACATTTCCCATAAAATGGCACAATACTATATGCATTACTTTGTGACTAGTTTCTTTCACTTAATGTTTCTGAGATTCATCCATGTCATACCAATGTATTAGTAGCTAATTTCTTATTGTTGACTGATATTTGTGTGTGTGTGTGTGTGTGCACGTGCGTATCTTATTATCTATTAGCCAATAAAGTCACACTTAGATTGTTTCCAGTTTTGGGCTGTTATGAATAACGCTGCTATAAACACCCATGTATAAGGCTTCTGGTAGACAAATATTTTCATTTATTTTAATTGAATTCTTTAGAACTGATGCATTGTAAGTCCATTTAAGTTTGACATTTTTAAAAAATACCAAACTTTTCCAAAGTGGTTGCATACATATGAACCAGCAATTTATGAGGGTTCTAGTTTCTCCACATCCTCACTTTCAGTCTATTTGTGTCTCTGAATCTAAGGTATGTTTCTTGTAGATAGAATATAGTTTTTAATCCAATCTGGTTTTTTAGTGGGATATTTAGTCCATTCATATTTAATGTAATTATTGATGGCTGCTAGCAATAAATCTGTCTTTATTTGGAAGTCTTTATTTCTCTTTCATATTTGAAGCTCAGTTTTTCTGATCAAAGTTGATAGGCTTTTCTTGTAGCATGCTGAATGTGTCATCCTACTTTCTTCTGTCTTCCTATTTTTACTGGTGCATTGTAATTATACATAATAGTGGGATTCATTATGCCATATTCCTACATGCACATAATTTGATCAATATCATTCCCCAGTACCATTCCTTTTCCTCCCCTTCTCCACAAATCCACTTGCTCTACTCATCTCCTTGCTATTATTGTTATTACTAATTAAATTAGTATATCATAATTTTATACACACACATATGATTTATTATGTTATATTAGTATAGAGGCACAGCATAGTCTGGTAGATTTCACTCCACGGTACTTCCCCATGTCTTTCCCTCCTCCCTCCCTCTTAATCCCCTTCCTCCATTCTATAAGTCTCCTTTTATTTTCATAAGATCCTCCCATTTTAATCAATAAGTGGGTGGCATCAAATTAGAAAGCTTCTGCATAGCTAAGGAAATAAGGATATGAAGAGAGCACCTCCAGAATAGGAAAAAAATCTTTGCTGTCTCCTCTTCCAACAGAGAATCAATATCCATTATATATAAAGAACAAAAAAACTTAAAACCAAAATAAATAATAAGCCAATCAATAAAAGGGCAAAAGATTTAAACAGATACTTCTCAAAAGAAGAAATACAAATGTCCTCCATTGTTTCTGATGAGAAGTCAGCTATTAATTGTATTGTTTTCTTAAATGTTAAATCATTTTCTCTAGCTGCTGATAAGATTATTTCATCTTTTAGCAGCTAGATTACAATTTGTCTAGGTAAGTTTCTCTTTTTGATTGTTCTTATGATAAGCTTTTTAGATAGGTAAATTAACATTTTTCATCAGATGGGGTATTTCAGCAATTATTTCTTTAAATGTTTCATCTATTCCATCTCCTCTTCTTCTGGGATTGTTATTATATATATATGGATAGATACACTTGATGTCTCACAGGTCTCTAAGGCTCTGTTCACTTTTTTTTTCAATTAAAAAAAATCTTTATTCTTTAGGTCGAATAATTTCTTTTGTTCTACCCTCCAGTTCACTTATTCTTTCTTTTTCCATCTCATATCTGTTGTTGAGTCCATATAGAGAATTTTTATTTCAGTTATACTTTTCAAATCCAGAATTTCCATTTGTATCTTTTTAAAAAAAAAAAAATCTCTTTTATTGAAATTCTGTGTTCGTTGAGTGTTTCCTTTGACTCTTTAAACATGGCTGCCTCCCAATTTCTGAACATATTTAAATAGGTGTTTTACAGTGTTTTTCAGCTAAATCCTCCATCAGAGGACAGATGCTCAGAGCTAGTTCCTATGGGTGCTCTTTTCCCACATAATGTCTAAATGTTTTGTTGAATTCTGGGCAATTTAATTAGTACTCTGAATTCTGATTTTTTTTCCCACAGGAGTTGTTGCTATTGTTTTTCTTATTTAATAATTTTCCTAAACTAAGTCTGTGATATTTGTCTCCCACATAAGGGACAGTTGCTGATGCCTCTACTAAATTTATTTTTCTAAGTTTTTGTTTCTAAGTCTGATTTCCAAGGGTTATCCCCATGTGTGCATAGCTTAGTATTCTGTCTTGAGCCAGAACGCTTCCCTCTGCTTCTGATTCTGTGTGTGGGCTGGGGAGCACGTGCAAACCTCAGGCTATTTTCACGTCCACCTTGGCTTTTACCTTCTGCTGGCTTCCCACAAACCCTGTGTGTGTGCTCATGGGCTCCACTGGCCAGGTATACGTGGGTGTCTTGGACCTGCTCCATCTTTCCTGATCATGCACACAGAATAAGTTCAATCTGGGATATACAGAAAGCCATGAAGCCCCTGATGGCTCTCTCACCTCCCAGAACTACTTATTAAGTCACCAGAAAGACCTTGCTTCAAAGAGGACTATAAACTCAACCCCTTGGAAGTATTGGCCTCTTCTGCTCATTTACCACCAAGTTGGCCACTTGAACTGACAATCCTCCAAAAAGAGTGAGCCCCTTCTGGAAGCAGCAGCAAGCCTGTTAGCTTTCAGTTTACCCTACCTGGTTGAACCATCACCTAACAGTGCTGGAGGGGAGGAGGGGAATGGGATCAAGATGGTGAAGAACACCACAAATCAATTTTGTTCCTACCCCAAGCTTAGTAATTTCCTTGAACAAATGCTTCTGAGTCTGTTATTACTAACTGCCTTTAGTTCTAGAGCATGAAAATGGATGTTTTTGATAGTCTTTCTTCCATCTTCCCATTTGCTTTGGGGGGAAGGTTTTGTCAACCTCCTCACTCTCTCATGCCAGAAAACAATATCTCAAGCACTCTACATTCTTCTGGAATTAAATCATTAATGCTATCAAAATATAGACCATGTAGGTGGAAATATCACTATGAAATTTTATTTTCAAAGAAAAATGTAGGGTTGGGGTTGGGGTTGTGGCTCAGTGGTAGAGTGCTTGCCAGGCATGTGTGAGGCACTGGGTTCGATTCTCAGCACTGCAAATAAATAAATAAAATAAAGGTCCATTGGTAATATATATATATATATATATATATATATATATATATAGAGAGAGAGAGAGAGAGAGAGAGAGAGAGAGAGAAGAAAGAGAGAGAGAGAGAGAAAGAAATGTTTGCTTTTCCTCCCTGTGAAAAAGTTAAAAACCTTTTCCCCCAAATACATATGACCAAAGGCACAAGTTTTGATAATTATTTCATTTGATTAAATTAATTAGAAAATCTCACTCCTCAGAAGCAGCACCTAAGGCCCTATCCTTGACTCCTTCACATACATGAGGGAAATGAAATAGGCCTGTGGAAAGACATTAGTCTCAAAGCACTTCGGTTAAGATGGTGCCTCCCACAGCTGGTTTTCTGCTCTTGTTCCTTCACAGTTTACTCACTTCTTTCCCTTATGCTTCAGCCATGGTCAATCAGATACACAAAGACCCTTCTCCTAACAGTCTTTTTTTGGAAGGCTTCATTGAAGCTTTCAGACCCAGCCATTTGTTGATTTTCCTTCCACTGTCTCCACAGATGGCCTGAGGGCTCTTAGGTAAGTGACTTGAGCTCTGGACACCCTCACAGCCCTGGGAAGGAAAATGAACTGCCCCATATCTCTGGACCCCAGTTTCTTAGATGTTGGACAAAACACTAGAGTTTTAGTGTTGATGAAACCTCTCATTTTCTTATGGGCAAATTAAAGCTCTGGGAAATGAAGGGCCTACGCATGGTCACCTTCCACAAGTGTGATAAAATTTAATATGTCATGCTGATAAAATAGGCAAAAGGCCTCAGAAACTGTTATCTGAATAAGTACCAGGCTCAGGGAAGGTGACTAGCAACGCTTTCCTGAAGATCAAACTTACATTCCCCAGGCTCTGAGAAGACTGGCTACATAGCCTCTTGGGACAGACTTTCCCACCCCTCCCCCTTCCCTCTTACCTGAGCAAAGAAAATCCAGGCTGCACACTGTCCTGGGGCCAGAAGGCTCTTTAGTTTCACTGTAGTGAACATGAGAAAGAAACCTAAAAATCCACTGGAAGGAGAAAAATATTCTTTTGTTAGTGATACTGTCTTCCTTGAGCCATTAGCCAACTCCATTTTAGTGGCCAATTCCTAATTATTGCATTACCTCTGTCACATCTGTGTTTCCTGGTGATTTTTGGATAAAGATAGAAAAAAATCGAAGTCCATGAAGCTCTATTTTTCAAAGAGGCTATGATGAGAACATGTCATCAGAGGTAGGGAGAGGTACAGAAATTTGGGAGGTCTCTGGCTAAATCATAAAAGAAAAAAAAATGTAGCAGACAATACCACTGCTCCTCCCTGTATTATTTCTGGAACACAGTACTTGCCAAGATAGAACCTCAATTTCTTTCAAGAAAACAAACTGTCAAAGGGAAACTCTCCAGATGTTAGAAAGGGTCTGGACTGGGCCCTGGGCTCAAGGTAAGAATCTGAAGGCTGGTTCTAGTAACACATGTGGCAAAGCCAGAAGTCCCCAAGCCAGGCAGATCTTCCTAGAAGCTATGCTCTGGAATGATGCCCAACACCTGTGTGTGAACTGAGAGAGCCTCACCCACAGGAGCCTGACGGTGGAGCAGCATTCGGAGGTCTAGACCAGCAAGGGTATTGTCACCGCAGGACCCGTGCAGCAGGTCCTATGCTGGAACCATATTCAAAAGTGTCACTGTGTGGTCAGGACCAAAGCTCTCAACTCCTCCTCGCAAGTGGAGGTAGGACAACTGGGGAAGAGATGAGGCAGAGAGACTGCAAGAGACAGAGACTGACTTCTTGCATATGTGTTCAAGTGGTAGCTTGAGTGTCGCTTTTAATTTAATTGAAAATTCATAACTACGTGATATGATTTTAGTTGTACCCCAAGCTAGAGAGCTATATTTCATTTTTTCAGGAGTCTGGAGTGCCATATTTCCCTCTGACTTTTATTATAGACACTGGTATGTGGCTTTAACCCTCACACCAATCAGGTGTCTGGAAGCAGGCTCAACTGAATCAAATACACCTAGGACCAAATTTCACAGAATTGTGTACTTTCACTTCATTAGATTAGACTAGTTTCATAGCCACATTCTTGGAGCAGCACCAGGGACAGGCATTAGGTTTCCCCTGTATATTTCTGTGGCTTTGGCCCTGATCACCTGCAAAGTCTATTCAGATTTGCATCTGCAGTCATGGGAGACTGGACAGCTGTGGATTAAGTTATCAAGCCTCACACCCAAAAGGCAAGGAGGCACTGTGGGTAAGACTTACCCAATTAGATCAAGCAGCCTGGACTTCTATTCTTAGCTGTATTCATTGACCCTCATGATCTTGACCAAATCCCCCTTTTTCTTGCCTGGGTTCTGCTGAGGCATAAGGAATAAGCATAGCAGTCCTCATTCAATCTTATGGACCAGAGACTTTAGATCAGAAAGGTTACTTTCCCCAAAGTCTCATTTTATTAACAAGGAAATTGAGGCACAAGTACAATTGGAATTCAGGTCTCCATGGCTCTTCAAACCTCACCAAGGAGATGTGTTCTTGACCAGCCAGACAGAGTGAGAGCTTCCAGGTGCCCAAGATCATGAAGATGGAAGTGGACAGCGAGGAGCTGTGCTCCGTAGCTCCTCTTGGTGACTTCCACCCTCACCCCAGGCAGGACCTCCTGAAGGTGAAATTCTCGGTCCGAGATACAGACAAGGAGAAGCCACTGAAATGACATGGGGAAACTGGACCCATTCTTAAAAAAGATGCCAGTGGGGCTGGGGCTGGGGCTCAGCAATAGTGTACTTGCCTGGTATGTGTGAGGTACTGGGTTCGATTCTCAGCACCACATATAAATAAAGGTCTATCAACAACTAAAAAATAAAACTAAAAAAAAGACACCAAGCTAGGAGGCAAAATATAACAGTTAAATCCATTCAAAGATTTCCAAATCTTTAAAATAAAAACACCTGAAGTGCACTATTTGTTGGGTTATGAGAAAGCTGCAGATTAAAGGAGCAGAAGTAAAGCAAGACTGTTACTCCACAAAGACACACCAATGAGCTGGGAACATACTGCTCTGTTCCAAATAATAAACAACTGTGGACCTCCCCTTCCCTGCCACTTGCCCAGGCTGCCAAATAGTCACACTCAAAGAGAAGCCAATCCACAGGCCCGGCTGCTCTATGACATAGGAATCCCAGCTAACAGACAAGTGAACAGGCCAAATCAAATTGACAGGAACTGGCAAGATGCATTCTGTTACAGAGCTCCCTGGAACTTTTCTATGGTGATAAAAATCATTCTGAGGCTCAATTGTAGAGACAAATTTTAACACTGATTCTTTCTTTTCCTTTACCCTAATATGCTTGAGGAGCAGGGCAAACCCCATCAGAAATAGTATCGGGGCTGGGGCTGGGGCTCAGTGGTAGAGTGCTTGCCTTGCACATGTGAGGCACTGGGTTCGATCCTCAGCACCACAAATAATCAATAAATAAAGGTATTGGGTCCATCTACAACTAAAAAAAATAGTATCTATCCACATATCCATTTTTTACCTCTATGTAAAGACTCACTGCTTCACAAGGTACCATTTTATGTGTGGGAATGGAGGTCTGGCTTTTACATAGCAATTGTTCATAGTTTGTTAACATCTTACTTGTAGGTGACTTGAACAGTTAATAATAATGGCCACCATTTATTGGGTCAGGCTTAGGACTTTATATATATTTGATCTGATATATACGAAAAGCCCTATATTGGTATTATTTTCCCATTTTTACAGATGAGAAAACTAAGACTTAGAAGAGTTGATGTAACTTGCCCAAAGTTAGTAAGTAGCAGTCCTGGGGCTCAGCCCAAGTTCGCTCTTCCCACTGTACCAGAATACAAGCTTTGAGACCTCCCACAGAAGTCTTCCCCTTCTCAGGATTGCCACCAGAAAAGGTGGGAATGCACTTCTGTGTGTCTGGACAAATCCATCTGATTCACCTATATCCCCAACTCCTTGCCAAGGTCAAATACTAATGATCACCTTGTTGTCTAGACATCTAGTCACTGATTTCTATAATTTGTTTCTAAAAGTTTCAGGATTCAATGGCGGTTTCTAGGGTCTGCCTTTGGGAGTAAAAGGGAGGCCCAAGTGGAAGCTAAGCGGGTAGGCTTCTGGAACCAAATTTTCCCTTGAACTGAATCAGTTATATCAGTTTAATATATTAAAGTTCTGGCTGGGAGTGGTGGTACACACTCATAATCCCAGTGACTCAGGAAGCCGAGACAGAAATATTGCAAATTTGAGGAGTGCCTGGGCAACTTGGTAAGATCCTATCTAAAAATAAAAAATAACCTGGGAGCAGTGGCACACACCTGTAATCCCAGTGGTGTGGGAGGCTGAGGCAGGAGGATGGCTAGTTCAAAGCCAGCCTCAGCAACAGGGAGGTGCTAAGCAACTCAGTGAGATCCTGTCTCTAAATAAAATACAAAATAGGGCTGGAGATGTGGCTCAGTGGTCAAGTGCCCCTGAGTTCAAATCTGAGTAATCAAAAAACTGAAAAATAAATAAATAACTAAAGATAAAAAATAATTTTTAAAAAGGACTAGGGATGTACCTCAGTGGTAGATTGCCCCTGGATCTGATTCCCAAAACCACAAAATATATTAAAATATATATATTATATATATTGATATGTAAGATAAAAATTGCAAACTTTTTTTTTTTTTTTTTGGTGCTGGGGATTGAACCCAGTGGTGCTCTACCACTAAGCTACATTCCCAGCCCTTTCTATTTATTATTTTGACACAGGGTCTAACTTTCCCAGGTTGGCCTTGAACTTGAGATCCTCCTGCCTCAGCCTCCCTTGTTGCTGGGATTATAGGTGGGTACCACCACACTTTTCAAAAAGAAAAATATATATTTACATACTTGGAAATTTATATACATTATTATATAATATGTAATTTATATGTGTGTATATATATATATATATATATTTTTTTTTTTAAAGTCCTCTATGAGATTTGCTTATGAGGGGAAAAGAGTGGGGAAAGCCCCACTCTTTAGCACATTTGAAAACCACCACCATGGTTGAGCGACATCTGCAGGTCAGGGGTCCTTGTTGGACATGGCCAGCCCTGAGTATCTTTGGGTGCCAGGAACAACCTGCAGGGGACAAGCAGGTTGCTTCCCACTGCACCCACCACCACTGGCTTCTGCCACTTATTCCTATGACTGGCAGTGACCCTGAACTTCACAAAGTCACAGCTGATTGCACAGAAAGCATACACATTTGTAAGTTCAACATTACCTGGCACAGCAGCTGCCATGGAATCTGTAGAAATACAGGAACGGGAAGTCCAGGACGCTGAACAGGTCACCTGAGGACCACAGCAATAGTGAAACAATGGCCCCCACAGTCCTCATGCCCTTATGCCCCTCTTCCAGCTGCCCCAGGAAACACAAGGCAAAGGTCTTGGGCACAGCAGCCCCTGCACATTGAGCAGCCTCACTATGGCATTCCTAGGGACTCTGTTACTGGCTCTGCTTTCTAATAAGATAATAATAACAACAACAACGATGATGTCGTAGCAAGAGCATCTTCACACACGGGCCCACACTAAAAGCTTTCTGTCTTTATCTCTTTCCATCCTTGTAACAACTCAATGGGATTCTATGGTCCCCATTTTAACTGGTGTGCAGAGAAGTGAAGGGAGAGTCTAAGACTACATACTTCTTGAACTGTGGAGCCAGAATGTGCACCCCAATTAATTCAAACTCTAAAATCTTTTCTCTTCACCAGGCAGCCATCCCTGCACAAGGGAGGGTGTGGTAGGGGAAAGTCTCTTAAGATTCTTTTCAATTTTTCTGTTTTATGTCTAAAAAAAGATTGTGAATGCATTCTCCTGACATCTTTTTGCATTTTCGTATTTAATTACTGCACCAGCAGCACCGGGGCCAGACTGACTGTGCAACTCATTTCAGTTTAAGGTCCAAAGGGTACATTTATTTCTTGTGAAGTAAGTTCATTCTTTTAGTTCCACTTGGTGCAAGAGGAAATAATCACACATACTGGCGGCTTCCCTCTCTGGAATTTGAACTTAGTCACAAACAAGAAGTCAGGAGATTAAAAAAGCAGAAAGCCTTCCAAAAATGTCCTGAGAAAAGGAATTAAGCATTTCCACAGTGGATAGCTTAATCCTTCCAAATCTGGATTTTTTCTTTTTTTTTTGAGTCTGCAGGAGCCTGGCCCTCCAGACCCCTGGCCCTTGGTCTGGATCTCAGTTCTGGGTGGACTGGAATGAAAGGGCTGATTTTTCTAAATATTCATGGAACATCGAATAGCAGTGGAACATGCAGGCTGTGTTTCCTCCACCACTAGACCTGCTAATCAAGAATTTCAGAACCAAAGACACATGGGCTTCTACACTTCCTCAAAGATCTAAATGATCTCTGATGATTCAACCATCTATTGGGAAGAAAGTTCTGGATTCTATTTCTCTGAAAGATTTTTTTTAATAGTGGACTATTATCTTCATTTGTTCATGCACATACATATGTTTAACTTAAAGGGTTTCTTGGGGTTTTTTCATGAAGACTGATAGGAGGTGAGGAGATCTTGTTCTCTTTGGGCCATCATGCCACTGAATACCTGTGCTGTCTAACCAGGAACTTGGAAATGACACCATCAGATCATATCTCCAGTCCGTGAAGGGCATGGCTGTATTGTGAGGTCCCTTTCCCCGCTGAAGTAACAGCCAAAGTAACCCTGGGGACTGGGACCTCAAGAGTGGCCAAAGCCCCTGCTCAGGCATGCGGAAGGGATGTCCATGGAGAATTGGTTCTGTCCCTTCAGCAGCTGTTGGTTCCTGGCTCTTTCCCAATTTCCCTCTCAGTGTGAGAGGAAGTATATCGCAGTCAGTATGATAATGAGGAATGACAGAGAGGGTGAGCAATTACGTCCAGGACCTTGAGACCCCTTAGGTTATGCCTCCTTTTGGCACCCAGTCTTTTTCGGAAGCACTCCAGAAGGGCAAACAGGACATACGGGCGTGTTGGCAATTTTTACAACCCGGCCCAGACTTTAAAGGGGTCTGAAAGGCAGAGGAATGGGAGGAATGGGAGACTGGGAGGGAGAAAAACAAGGAATAAATCACAGTTCTCAGGGAATTGTCAGATAGTAACCCTCACCCAGATCCTGAAAATGGATCCCAAAAATTGAGAGAGAAAAAAATAATAAAATAGTCTGCCCTTACTGCTGAGCCATTTCTAACACCTTCATATATTTTGCACACTGGACTTATTTGAAGTCACTCATGTCCCACCTCCTAGAGCTAGGAAATCTTTGAGAGCAGACATCCTACTCATCTCTGCAGCCACTGTGTCGCCCCTCACCTGACACAAGCAGGCCCTACTGAACACAGGACAACTGTAAGGTCTGAGGATTGCTTGTTTTCCCAGGTGAGAATGTGTTTGCAGTTGGCTATATGGTCCTCAATTTCCAGTTGACTCCAGATGCTTCTCCTTTGATGCTCCTTTTTCTTTTACTCAAGTAGCACTTTTTTTTTTTCTTTTTTGTGGTACTGGGAATTGAACCCAAGGCCTTGTGCCTGCCAGGGAAGTGCTCTTCTACTGAGCCACATCCCTGCCCTGAGGCACTTGTAAACAGAAACCCTAAACAGCAAAGATTAGTGACTCTGCCATCAATACCCCTCAAGGGGTTGCAGCATGCTGCTGGCCAGGTCCAAGTCCACCAGAGCTCAACCCAGAAGCCTAAGAGCACGTGCAATAACCTTCTCAAGCCAACACTGCACCGCCTCACATAGAGCTGAATGGCATGAGCACAAAGCCAGAGAGCTGTCAACATGCTTTGTGGCAGCAACATGAGGTGACGCCATCCAGTCTGAGTTGACCCATCACCATTGTGCTCCACTGCAAACTCTGCTGATCTGAGTGGGGGACTGAATGCCACTTCTCTGAAGATCACAGAGCACAAAACTGCCATGGTGGGAGGTGTGGCCCAGTCTTGCCATGCTCGAGACTGAGATTTGAACATGGAGAGAATTTCCTCTCACCACATTTCAGTCATCAGAACTGGCAGAAGAATGGGAGGTCGGTTCCCAGGAGCGATTCCTGCTTTTTGCTTTATCTCACACAGAGGCAGCAGCACCCCGATGGCTAGGTCAGAGGCCTGTGGTCTCCTTGTTCCTCTGGTTCCTTGAAATTCTCTCTCAAATACCACAGCAGAGGGGCCTCCATACAAATATGAAGTGTAAGTTTTTAAGCTTAGGAAGAATCTCTCTACTACTGGTTAAAACAGTCTAAGAGGAAAGGAGGGATTCTTCTTGAGCAAGATTCTGAGAGCCTTTTGGCCTCTACAAGAATAGTGAGGCTAGAAGAAGTGATGGATTCTGCCCACCCAGAAGCAAGCTCAGAGTCCAGGGCATGGAGAACTGTCTACCTGATCCCACATACCCCAAAGATTCATCTACAAGGAAGTTCGTCTTTCCACTCACTTATCAGTCAGGGAGGAGAGAAGCTTAGTCTAAAGCCCTATGCAGAGACCACGGCTCACTAGAAGAGCTTAAATAAGACTGACCACACGAAGTGTTGGTGAGAATGTGCAGCTACTGGAACTCTCACACTCTCACCACTGGGTGAGAGTGACAAATGGTACAAATAGTTTGGAACACTGGTACTTTTTTACAAAGTTAAAAATACATACAAGATGTATGAAGATGTGAATTTGGTGTCAACATACCTTATATACAACCAGAGATATGATAAATTGTGGTATAAAAGTGTATTAAGAATTGTAATGCAAAATAATAATAATAATAAAATACATACAAGACCTACTAATCCTGCTTAGCTGTTCTGTCTGCCAAAACTTTATAATCAGCTGCATATTACCATGAAAAAATGCTACTAGGAGCTATCAAAGAGTTCAGGGTAATGGACTCCCAAGGAGTCTTCTAGATCCTGAGCTTCTGTCTTCTCACACACCAAATTTCTACTTTAATATCTATCTGCTTTGGTTATCTACTCTGACAAACAAATAAAGACAAGCACTTCATTATTCCTGGGTACTTTTTTTTTTCCACATGAGTTTTGGAGGGGATACCATAGTGGGACCCAACTTAAGCATGACTTCTCCCTGGGGGCCTTTCTGAGAACTTTTGGAAGCCATGGGCTGCTGCTGACAGCTGCATAGGTTACGTATTGCATGATATCAGAGAGCAGGACACTGTTTATATAGACCATGCTGACTAAGGCAGCCCTGAGAATTTCTAAAGACTAATGGTGCTCAAGACCTGGACAGGTTCTTTTCATTTAGATTTCAAAAGAAGCTTCAGTACTCCAGACAAGATTGTTTTACCACTCAATGGTCCTCATCCATGCAAGCACTCAAGAACAGACCCCACAGCTACCAAGGTTTGCAATCAATGGCACTCCCCTGATAAGAAGTGAAAGGAAAAGTAGATATACCTTTAAGGCACCTTGACACACAATTTGTAAAAGTTCTAAGAAGGCAATAAAGGTGACCTCAGTGATCACACACAGAGCACCTTTATAAAAAGAACATGCCTTTATATTACCTAACACACACAGAAGACTACATAGCTTTGAAGTGTTTCCCTGGAGTTCTCAAGGATTGAATATTGAACTTGGTACTGGTATACTTGGAAGTATCCAGCTTCTTCCGGAAGGCTGTCATCAATTTGTACCTCATCCCACACTGACCTTCTATTGGCATCAAATCAATATTGGCATCAGATTCACCATTTTTGGTCAGGAGCCATTTTATCTAGAGGCTCCGAAGTTTCAATTCTGAGGCAATGCTGCTTAACTTCCCGTAAGAAGTGTACCTGCTGAACGATCAACGATCGTTCAACGCCATCCCAGCTTATGACACAACTCCTAAGCAGCTTAGGAAATTCCTCTTTGCGGGCTATAAAGCTGCTCTGTTGAGTGCCATGACATCTGCTGTTCTCTTTGAAGGGACAGCCTTATTGGTTTGCCTCATGCTACTGACAATAAATCTCTTGCATGAGATTTTGGTGTGTGGCTTGGTCTTTGGACTTTGTGTGGACCCTGTGAGTGTCCTTTCACCTTCCCTAGGCCTTTGCAGAAGCCCTGTTATGATGGCCACTGAGGCTTGTAGGATTCCTGAGTCCTATAGCATTAGGATATGCTTTTGCTCGGGAACCTCAGCTACTTACTGCACCAGAAGCCAAGGTCTCTGCTACTAATTGGCATAAGAGGCACAGCCACTATCACTGACCCAGCAAAATCCTTCTCATAAGCTCAAATTTCTAAATCCAGCTTCTTCAATGACCAGCCTCTTCAATGATCTGCCTCAGCTAGCATGAAGTCACAGTAAACCAAACTTGCAGAAAGGACTCCTTCAAGAGAAGTGTGCCAAGGCTCTCTCTGAGGAAGCCCACAGGTTCCATGACTCACTTGTGCTGCTTACTGCAGATCAGTCCTCAACATTTACCATGCAAGGAGTTAGAAGCCTGAAGGAGAAGGAATGGGGGGCAAGTATCATTTACATATTTTTATGTAGAAGTATTTATATACTTAAATATGTATAACATTGTGTGTATATGTGTATTTTTTTTTCAGTGCTGGGAACCAAATCCAGGGCCTCACACAAGCTAGGTAAGTGTTCTACCACTGAGCTACTTCCACAGCCCCTAAAAATATGATTGAAGGAAAATTAATCCTTCTAAGGATCCTCTTCTAGCATAATTAAGTTCCAAACAGGTTCTCAAATCAGAGACATTTATTTTTCTCTACATATTTTTTATTGAGATATAATTCACATACTATAAAACTTAACCCTTTAAAGTATATATTTTGATGGGCGTGGTGGCACATGCCACCCAGTAACTCAGGAGCCTGAGGCAGGAGGATGATGAGTTCAAAGCCAGCCTCAGCAACTTAGAGAGGCCCTAAGCAACTTAGTAAGACTCTGTCTCAAAATAAAAAATAGAAAGGGCTGGGGATGTTGCTCAGTGGTTGTGCACCTCTGGGTTCAATCCCTGGTACCAAAATAAACAAATAAAGTGTACTTTTCTGTGGTTTATAATATATTCACAGAACTATGTAATGTTATGGTTTCCATATGTGGTGTTCCCCCAAACTGTTGTCTCATATGTGAGATGGTACAAGAATGTTCAGAGGTAAAATAATTGGGTTATGAGAGCCTAACTTTATCAGTGCATTAATTCACTGATAAGGATTAAATGGGTGGAAATTGTAGGCAGGTAGGGTGTGGCTGGAGAAGGTGGGTCACTGGGGGCATGGCTTTGGGATTTAAACTTTGTTCCTGGTGAGTAAAGTTCTCTCTGCTTCCTGATTGCCAGGTCCTGAGCTGATTTCCTCTGCCACACTCTTCCGCCATGATGTTCTGACTCACCTCAGGCCCAAAGGTATGGAGCTGGCCGGCTATGGACTGAGACCTCTGAAACTGTGAGCTCCATTTAAACTTTTCCCCCTTTAAAACTGTTCTTGCCAACTGTTTTGGTCACAGCAGCAAAAAATCTAGCTAAAACATGCAAGCATCACCATTATCTAATTCCAGAACATTGTATCCCCTCATAAAAGAGATTGATGCCAATTTTAAATTATTCTTCTGTCTAAACTATTCAACAATATTAGGTGGCTGACCACTTTGTGTTCCCAAAGAGTAACAATGCATGAAGATATTCTTATATGGGCCTAAAAATTTAATAATAACTCAAGGTGAAAAGTTGGACTTTTCAGATAAACTATTACCAACAACCACCATGCTTGGAAATTGGTGGAGAAAATGCTTCCCACATCAAGAGAAGTTCTAGAAAGAAACCAGGAATGTCCTACAAAAGTATTCACTTGCTTGAGACACTTTATAATAAAGTATAGAATCAGTGAAAAAGGCAGTAATCAAAAAGAAAAACCTGGCAGCAGGTTCAGGAGACCTAAAAGTGCTTTTCCCTCTGCTAAGCACCTGCTCTGCATCATCTTGGTCATATCACTTAACTCCTCTGAGCTGCATATTCCTCACTTGTAAAATCTGGAAGCACCTGTGATAACTGCTAAGCTTCCTTCCAGCTCTGCTAATCATGAGTTGACAGAGGAACAGCATAATCTCTTAGTTGAAGGGCAAAATGATCTCTTTAGGTAAAAAATTATTTACCCACATCCCCTACAAATAATTCAGGAAGTAAATGAACCTGTAAATCAGGAGAATCAGTAAATATAACTTTCCAAAGGTTTTTGACAAGTGCACATTTCAAAGAGAGAGAATCCTAAAACATCTGCCAGGTGACTGACGCTATGATGAGAGGCAGGATTTGAAGGCAGATAACCGGCTGTACGGGTAGATAGAAACTGCTTAGGGTTCAGCATGGCTTCATAGGATTTATTATTGTACAAAGGATAGGCTTTCAAGATGACAGTGGGGAGGACACTCAAGAGCAAACCTCAGAGTCTGAGATGCCCCCAGGCTGTGGGAAAGAGCAAACAAAAGTGAGTGGGAATGGAGAGAGTAATGCATTAAGAGAAAGTGATCTGAATGATCCTTAGGAGAGTGGGCTCAGACACAGCATTTATAATCCAATAGCCTTACTCCAGGTCACTATGGAGGAAACTAGCTCAATCAGTTAAAAGCAGCTAAAAACACCAATGGAAGCTGTCACTGCCACACAATGCTGTCACTAAGCACAGGGTGAGAGCTGGGAAGGCTTTAGAAAGAATCCAGCCCGCCTTTCTCATTTTAGACATGAGAAAACGGAGACTCCAGGACTTAGGTAGTGCTTCAGGCATGTCAGTAGTCAAAAAATATTAGTTTCTTTTTTTGTTGTTGTTATTGCTTACAAAAAAAGGGGGAAAAAAGTCTTCATGTCACTCATGAGGGAGCCTAAGATGTTCCAATTCTAAGTCAATGCTCTTTCCAACACTCTACCATGCTATAAAGAGCATGACCAGTAAGATGTATATTTTCATTCATATCACACATAGACACTACTTTTTTACAACCTCTGTTGTGGTTGGAATATGGTTTGTCCTTTCCAAAACTCACTTTGAAGTCAAACTCTCATTGTGAGGTCTTAGGAGGGTGGAAACTGCTGGTGTGGTGGTGCACACCTGGAAACCTGGAATCCCAGTTACCTGGGGAGGCTGAGACAGGAGGATTGCAAGGTCATGGCAATAGCAAATTAGTAAGACCCTGTCTCATAATAAAATTATAAAAGAGGAGGCTGGAGAATTAGCTCAGTAATAAAGTACTTGCATAGCTCACAGGAGGAGCTGGATTTAATCCCTAGTACTTAAAAAAGAGAGAGAGAGAGAGAAAGAGAGTGAGGGTGGAAATTTAATCCAACTATGATGTCTAGATGTGTGCTTTTGGGAAACAGGATTAGATAAGGTCATCAAGGTGGGGCCTTCATGATTGAATGCTGGTGTTCATAAGAAGAGAAATGACACATGTGTACCATTCTCCATTGGTGTCATCTCAACATATGATGCCCTATGCCATCTCAGGACTCTGTCAGCAAGAAGGTTGTCATCAGATGGGGCCTTGTAACCATGAGTCAGTGCGGGAACCCAAAGCAACCTATTTTCTTTATAATTTATCCCATCTATGGTACTGTGTTTTTAACCACAGAAAATAGACTAATATGACTCCAAAGCCTTTCAAAGTAAAACAAACAAACAAACCAAACCCAACCCACGTTGGAATAGAGCATTGTAATTCAGGAATCCAGGTAATTCATTCCTCAATCTGAAAAGCAACTACAGAGTAATTGAGGCCGCAACAGGGTGAAAATAAGCTTTTAAAATTGACTTCTTTACTCCAGTATTCAGAAAATTAGATGATGATGTATGATAAAAACTTTACAAAATGAGGTCAGCTAGAAATGGAGTGTATTTGACAAGTGCACATTTCAAAGAGAGAGTGTATTTTCACCAAATCCTTTTAGCACCAAAACAGCAATTCTGGATGCTTGGGTAAGGGACTTTAGAAGAGGGCAAAACAAGCACTAGATTACTTGGCAGGTAATAAACAGACTCAGCTATATATCTGAGACCACACTAGATGAAAACACAGACAATAAAATGCATCAGAGATAAGAAAAAATTCCTGGGCAATAAAGTCACAGTGGGTCTTTTTTTTTTTTAACTTTAATTTTTGTGGTGCTGGGAATGAACCCAGAGTCTCATACTTGCTAGGCAAGTGCTCTACCACTGAGCTATATCCCCAGGAGCACTGTGTTGGGTTATTAAGAGCAAATTCAAGTAGGTGGACCATTTTTTAACTCTCAGGGTGACATACTGGAAGGTAACCATATTCTCTTTTGGGATGTCTTCAGAGATAACAACCAAGCTCAGAACACTGGGTTAAACAGGGTCAATGTAAAACAACCCACAAACACCCCAGACAGCTTACCTGTGGGGTGAGCTGCAGATGCCAGAAACGCCACACTGAAAAAAGACACAGCAAAGTAGTCAAGAAAGTTTCTCCAGCACAAAAAAGAAAAAAAAAGGGGGGGGGAGATACAAAACCATACATTTCCATCCATTTTACTTGGAAATAGTTCAACTGGCCTGAAAGCAAATTTTCTATAGTGAGTGGTCTCATTCTGCCTAAGCCCAACTCAGAGAGTGAGAATCTCTTAAAATGTTTTGGCAAGAAGGCTGAATCTTCCCGGGACAGGCTGAAGGTCTCCTGTCCCACCTGAGGACCAATGATGTCACTTTTCTCAGTCCTGGCTGACCATAACTATGATCACATTTAATTTACCCAGAGTATTTAAGAGCTAAACCAAGGGCACTCCACATTACAAACAGGTTGCAATCTAAAAGCTAGCCACTGAGCTATGTGAACTGACTATCCTTTTTCCATAAAGTGAAGTGTGTTTAAGGTAATTAAATTTCCAACCTGCCCACAAATTGATCCATCCAACCACAGCTGAAAACTACCTGGACTGAAGTTTAATAGATGTCCACAGAAGGGGCAGGGAGGGGGTCTGGAAAGGAGATGGAGGAATGTTCTTTGATGTGAGCCACATTGGACCGTGGCACCCCATTCTTCCCCTCTGGAAACTTCTGTATCCCTGCACCCCTCTATGGTGCCTGCATGCTGTCCAATGCCCACTGCAGTGGACTGAATCCTCCCTTCTTCAGCCTCCTCTACAAAAACTCCATGCCATCCAGACAGTCGATCTAGTTAGAGGTTAGGAATAAAACTTGACATCTAACTATGGGAAGGAATTTTTTTAAATGTGTGGAATGGCCTGCTCTGGCTCAACCCTGGCTGCACATCAGACTAGTCCAGCATCCTGGTTTATATCAAAATCTCCCAGGGCAGGGTCCAGACAAGTTTTCTCCATGATGGCCCAGGCAGTTCTAAAATGCACTGGAACCGAGGATCACAATAGGCAATCTCCAGCGAGTGGTGACGTTGTAGGTAGTCCTAAGGAAGGTGGCCGTGAGCAGAAACCACTGTTAGACTGTCAGCCCTGCCCTGCTCCTAGGGCTATCTCCCTGCACCATTTCTGTTTCTCCTGAGCTCTGCCTTGAAAGCCCATTTCTCGTGTCCCCTTGAGCAGTAGCAGTATAGCTGGCAAAGGAGCAGGAGAGGATGCTTGGGAGGACAATGGAGAAGAGCCCATTATGGGGATCCTATAGAAGTTGTCGGTTTGTAAGACAGGGCTTACTTGTAGCTCTGAAAAGTACACATACTACACAAGACTGGAGACTGAGGAATGATTAGTCCTTCACATGGGCTCTGTAAGTCTTCACTTGACATCTTGTCATTTTTTGGAAAACTTGTAATCTCTTCATATGCCATTATTTGAACTCCCTGGATCCTCTTTTGTTTATAACTTCAGGAGCAGAAGAAATTCCTCCTATTGCAGGATATGAAGCACCTCTTTCCATCCCAAAATATCTCTCAGGGCCTGCCATGGTTCCCCAATTCCCATCATAAGGGTCACTCCAAAATATTAGGGGGTAGAAATAATTAAGGGAAAGAGTTGGTCTTCTAACTCCTGTCTGGAAATTTGCAAATACAATGCTAACCCACTCCTAATTCCTATGCTGTGACCTCTTTGGGGGTGAGAACTATATTTTATTCATCTCTCAATCCCAAGTACCTACATGGATATAGTGTCATGCATACAGCAGGGCTCAATATGTGTTATAATGCAGTTAATTACCTCTAGGTTATCTGTGGTAGGAATACATTTGAAGAAAAATATAAATTGAAGCCCCCAATAGTTCTAAGATCATAAGTTACATGTAAATTCTAAAGAGGAAATTATACTAACATAAAAGGCCAAATAGCAGGCCTTTTTAAAATTCACTCAATCAATAAATATTTATTGAGTGTCTAATATATGTCAGGCACTGTTCTAATATCTAAGAAGAAACAGGTAAACGAAACTGAAACATCCCTATACTCATAGGAAATAAAATGAGAGAACATGAAGAAACCATAATCTACATATGCTAAATTCCAATACTTTTTTTCTGTTTCTCTAACTCATACCCCAGAGAGAATACCTATTTCCCTTTGACACACATACACAAAATTGCATCTGGAAAATAAGGAGATGGAGAATAAATGAGCAGCATTATGGTAATTTTCTATTTAATAGACAGATCAGTATCTGCCTCGTGTTAAAAAAGAACTGGTACTACAAGGTCATTCTATAACATTCATTCCTTACATACTGTCTAAGTTCCTCAAAAGGCAGAGCAAAGTGATATTCAATTTTAACAATTTATTTATGCTCAGCCTGTGGACAGCTTTCCCATTCGCCTTTTCCTTCATTCTTTCCCCTTACGTGGTTCCTTATTCTCTGTATTAGAAACATCAAGAAGTCAGGGTCAGGGAGCAAATACATCCTCAGTGAAGTAGGAGTGTCTGCCAAAGGCAGAGAACCATCCAACGGTTTGCGTTTCTCAAAATATCTAGAGTTCAAACCAATTTTTTCACCCTGGCATGCAACACTCCAGGCTGGCCCCAACAAGGACAAACCATAAATCTGAGCAGATTGCAGATTTCTGGACACCAATACCCTCAGCACCCAGTGCCAAGGGGAAATTGAATAGTGGTACTTATTCTGATTCATACATCTTTATCACTTGTACCAGAAAAAATCTGGAACCAGTCACGGCTTAAGCAGGGTATGCCACAGCCTCAGCCAGGAAGCTGGGAGTACCAAGATCACAGGCAATAAATATCCTCACTCCAGGTGGAGGGGGAGAGGTCAGAAGAAAGAACTGAGGGTCAACAGAGGCTCATTTTTCTATACGTCTATTCCTTTGCTGTGCGATCTGGTTATATGTTTTGTACAGAAGAATTGCCTATAATGGCACAATGGCTTAGAAACTTGGTTTTGTTTTGTTTTGCAGTGCTGGGTTCAAATCCAGAGCCTTGTGCATGCCAGGCAAGTGCTGTACTATTGAACTTCACCCCTAGTCTTTGGAAGTATTTTAAATAACAATAGCCTTCTGTATTTTCAGAAAAATCTCTTGAAAGAGCTAGTGGGTCTGAGCAGAGTGTGACTGACTGCTGCTGGGCACAAAGGTGGCCCACAGCAATGCGTGGGGTGTGTCTTACATTCACACAGGCATTTTAATAAATACTAGGATATTTACGGGCATCCTCTGCACATGGAGAACACAGCTCAAGTTGAATGTTTTAAGTAGAGTAACTTCCTCCAGAAATCAGCATGACCAAATGGTGGGGCACATCTCCAACCTTGGCCCTCTTCACTAAAATTCACAACACTGGGCAACATTGGGTTTCCAGCAGCAAACCTCATTTTCTTTCTCAGGTCTGTGTGGTAGCACATCCTGTCTATCAAGGAAACTCTACTGGCTTCTTGCTACAAAACGCTTTATTCAAAAAACAAAAGGTGCTTGGGAAGTGAAAGGTGCTTGGGGGTTTTCAGAGGGCCTGACCTTTTCAGGCCTTTCCTCTTTAGGCCTTCAGGTCCCAAGACTCGGAGGCCAGACGTCTAGTACTGAGGCTACTGAGATCCAAGAATGAGTCCCAGCTATACTATTTAGCAGGGAGACCCCATCCTTAGCCTGGCTCAGACAAGGGTACAAACAATAGTCCACATACCAATTTAAAAGTCAAAAACTAAACCTCAAATTTGATCCTACCTGAACAAATACACCTTGAAAACAACCTGGAATCTAGATTAAAATTTAGAATTCTGGGGCTGGGGTTGTGGCTCAGCGAGGCCCTGGGTTCGATCCTCAGCACCACATAAAAATAAATAAATAAAACAAAGGTATTGTGTCCAACTACAACTAAATAATAAAGATTTTTTTTTTAATTTAGAATTCTGAGAATGCTTGGAACTTTGTGTCAGGTGGCAGCATGGGGAGATCTGGCCTCTGGCTCTGGGTTCCCAATGTGCCCTCTTCTCTTTGCACCCCAGGTTCCTTCCTGCTCCCCAAGAATTCTCCGCATATGTACATGAACAGGACATCCTCTGCATCCCATTCTGGTAACAGCCTCTCTAGGACATCCATTAATAGGAACAAGTTGGGAAGACAGACCTGGAAGGCCCTGGAAGGGAGCTTGGAGCCATTTGGGTAGGGGATCGTAGAGCACAGTCTAGAAGTGAAATTGTGGGGTCTGTATGAAATGTCCCTTAGCCTCCAAGGGGAGGAATGCGGCCCTCTGAAGTGCAGGGCTAGACGGAGGCCTGGTCTAAGGGCAAGACAACTATCTGGTTTTCCCATCTCTGGTCATCTCACAAATTATTTAACTTCCTTTCCTGGCAGCCCCATTTGCTCTCTAATCAAAACATTACTGGAAAATAAAATTCATTAGCTCTAGAAGAATATGCATTGGTACTTCAAAAATGCAAATTATATTTTACCTGAATATATAGTTTAAATACTGCTGGTCAATGTCACTAAGGAATGAGAGAGAAAAGATAAAACATATGAAACAACAGAAGAAATTTTTAAAAACACAATACAGTCATTATCCACTATTAATAAATTTTATTTCTACATGTTACTACTTTATAAATTCTTAATAAATTTTATTCTTAATAAAAAATATTCAAAACTAATTCCAGGGTGTTTTTTTTTTAACCTGAAATAACTTTATAAAATTTATTTTGTATAACTGAATTATTTTTAAAATGTTTAAATTTGCATATAATCCCTCCCTCCCTCCCCACCGCCGGTTTATTGTTTTAAAAACAGTTCCTAGTTAAGTGCCATAACACACACACACATGTTCACCTGTGTGGCTGATGGCTTCCCGTGTGCATGTGACCACTTTCAAAGGACTATCAATTATCTCAGAGCACTAGACTGGCTTCTAGGGCTACCATTTTTAACAAAAGTAAAGGGCATTTAAATAAATTTGAATCTCAGATACAGCAATGTTTTAGTGTATGCTCCAAATATCACATGGGCCATACTTAAACTGTAAAAGTTTGCTGCTCAGATGAAATTCAAATTTAAAGGGCATCCTGTCTATCAAGACAACTCTACTGGCTTCTTGCTACAAAAACACTTTATTCAAAAAAAAAAAAAAAAAAAAAAAGGTGCTTGGGAAGTGAAAGGTGCTTGGGAGTTTTCAGAGGCCCTGACCTTCTCAGGCCACCGCCTTTGGGCCTTTCCTTTTTAGGGCTTCAGGCCCCAAGAGCCGGAGGTGGCTAGTCCCCCTCAACTGAGGCCACAATTCTTATCTTTTTTTTTTTATATTCACATTCACCAAAGGGACTCCATTGCTTGCTGCAACGAGGGATTTATTTTATCCAAGAGCAGAAGTAGGGAGACTCCTAGGAATAAACTGAGTCAAGTTTGGAAGGCACTGGGGAAAAAAGAAAACCTAGTTGACTGGGGTCCAAAGCAGCTGATCATATACAGTTCATTAAATTCTTATCTAAAAGGCTGCCCATGAAGGAAAGGTGATCCATGTCTCTACACACATAGCTGAAAGCTGATCCCTCTCAGATGGCAGCGGGCCTGGCCCAGAGTGGCTGGTGCAGCAGGCAGAAAGAGGACAGGCAGCTTTGAGGGCTCTCTGCTGCCCTCCTGCAACCAGACTTGCAGAGAGTCTGGCCAGATGGAAGAATCTCATGCTGAATAGATCTCATCTCTTTCCTTTAACCAAACAACCCACCAAACATTCAGAGCTTACCTTAATGCACTAGGCTTCTGGAACTTCCGTAGTATTTTATAAGCACCTGGAAATGAAGTCACATGACATTCTGCTTAAAGAGCTGCCTGCACTTTCAAGAAAGTACAAAATCCAGGCAGAGAAGAACCCTAACAGCACAGCTCCTGGTCCCCTTTTCCCTATGAGGGTCACACACTGACAAGAGAGGACTAAGAACATTGGAGGGACTCAAGGATGTGAATTCAATGGTCCTCCGTGATAATGTAGTCAGTCCTTCAAGTGGCCCACAGGGAGCACCAGGCAAGGAAAGTGTCATGATCCACAGGTAGATACATAATTAAAAGGAAGGTTTTACTTCCTTCACACAATGCACATGGGAAAGAGAAACACTGAGGGATTTCTGAACATTTCTAAACTGTGTTAATAAATCCAGGGCACTGTTTATTCCCCCTAAGATTACAAACAAGAAACACTAAACATATGACTTTGAAATAAAATCAGATGGTCTGCCAGGTGTGCTGGTGCAATCCTGAAATCTGGTGGCTTGGCAGGCTGAGCCAGGAGGACGGAAAGTTCAAAGCCAGCCTCAGTGACTTAGCAAGGCCCTGAGATCCTGTCTCAGTGGTTAAGTGCTCCTGACTGATTTCAATCCCCAGTACTAAAACAAAACAAAAAACAACAAAAAAAATCAGATGGTTCTTTTATTACACCAACTTGATGATATTATTATTATTATTATTATTATTATTACTATTTGCTTGCTTTTTTAAAATATGCTTTTGGATTCCTACCTTTCTGCCCTTTTAAAGAAAGAACAACCAACATTCTATCTGAGCCAATGTTTATCATGAAAGAGAGGAAAGGGAACTATATTGGAAAGGGAAATGGTTGAAGAAAACTCCAAAATAGAAAAACAAATCCAGAAAATGCCCACTTAATTTTAACCTTGGATTTTTTAAAGGAATTTAACCTTTATTTTATTTATTTGTTTGTTTTTATGTGGTGCTGAAGATCAAACCCAGTGCCTTACCCATCCTAGGCAAGTGCTCTACCACTGAACTAGAACCCCAGCCCTTAACCTTGGATTTAATTTTCCTATTGTCCAGAGTCACTATCAGTGAATACAGCTAGAAAATTAGGGGAAGAGAGAAAAGGAAAGCAATGGGAATGATAATGATCAAATTATGTGCTTACACAAATATGGCATAATGAATCCCACTCTTAAGTAAAATTATAATGTACCAATTAAAAAAACATACCTCAAATATTTAAGTAAGCATTTAGTTAAAACTTACCTACACAGAATAAGTGAATTACAGCCCAAAAATATCCATCTGGATCAAACTGTAATACAGGATAAAGAAAGAAAAAAAAAATAGCTCTGAGTACAAACAGCATCCGCACAGCAGGCAGAAACCTGAGTCATCAAAGCACAGTGCAGGGCAAGGTTTCAAACCAGCACTCTTAGTGTCTAGGTCCATTCTCCCTCATATGTCACCCAGTAGCCTACAACAACTTCCTGATGCAGCTTGGCCTTCATCCCCCCTCACCCACACTGCCACCACACTATGTGCAAATCCAAACTCATGGCACTCAAGGACCTCAATGACAAGCCCCCACAAACCCTCCAGTCATGACTACAGCCCCCCACCCTCAAAGAACAAGGATGGTTTGCATTTTCCAAAACAAATGCTCTCTGCTTACTAGCCAAGCAGACTCTTTCTTTTTCTCCCTTTCTATTATTCTCCACAGCCCTCATGTAGTTGACACACTCTACAGTTTCCTTATTCTCAGTCTGTCTCCATCTCCGCCCACCCTCCACTAGATGGAAGTCCCAGGAAGGCAGGAGTTAGAATGGGGTGACCACATAGTAGGTGTTTATTAAAGTCAAATCCCAGCATACCCATGGCCCCTTTGGCACTTTCCTCATTCTTTCAGATTTCAGTAAGCAGTGCCTGGCTCTAGCACCAGAGCGATCTAGGTTACATTCTAAAATCCCCTCTTATTCATTAGCAGGTGACCTTTTGGGTCTCACTATTCTTTAGCTATTCATGGAGATAATAATAGTCCCTGTCCTACAGAATTGTTGTGAAATTTTAAGTAAAATAGGGCATAAAAAGAATTGGTGCAGGGACGGCACACAGCAGGATCCTATCATTGTTAGCTGTTCCCATTTTCCAAGTCCCTGAGTCTTCTTAGGTACTTCATAGCCTCCCTACCTCTCTGGACTGAGTCCTGGTCTCCTTGTCATAATTAGTTGACTGCTCACTTGTCCATCTCCCTCCCCCTTTGCTCTGAATAGACTCTGATTTCTGCCACAATAAAGTCTCAGAGCCTGACACTAGGGTGGCATGGGGCGGGGGGCACTTAAGAATGCTGGGGGAGAAAGGGAGGCAGAAAAGAAAGAAAAACCTAGCAAGGAGATGGCTACTGGGGATGCGATGGGTCCTTAGTGCCTCATAAGGAAATCTCCAATTTGGCACAGGGTGATCAAGTAAAACTCACATCCAGCAGAGGCCCTGGCAATGAGCAGGAAAATCAACTTTGCCTCAATGCCTGAGGCTGGGGCGACCCAGGCATGGGAGTGCAGGTTCACAGACTTGCACAAGAATGAAATGCATGCAACCCAGGGCCAGACCTCTAAGGCCTGGGGGAAACGGTGCTGCTGGGCCAAAAGGCCCCAGCCTGGGAGCTTCTGAATGCCTCCACATAGGCCAGGTTATCTTCATTCTAAAAGCAAGGACTAGGAAAGTCTGCACACATGCGAGACTTCAGAGAGTAAAAGACTCTTTGAAGGCAAAAGGAGTTTACCTAGACTTACCTGGGAGTCGTTGAAGGGAAGGCACCCTGCAGCTGCCAAGAGGAAGAGGGCGCTGTGGACAGGCAGATAAAACAGGCAGCTTCACCTTTCAACATCAAAGCCCTTCCCAGAGAGTGTGGAGGTTGGACCAGATCCCTTGGAGTTTGGAGGAGGCAAAGAGCCTGAGACCAACCCAGTTCCCCCTTCATCCTTTGAGAACCCTGACTCCTGTGTGGTTTTCAATTACATTCTCTGCTGACAGCCAGACATCTTCTCTGCAGCTCAGCTAGCCATTGCCCAGAGTCGGGCACTTACAGGACACATGAAAACCAGAGCTGGCTCACTCATGAAACAGTGTGTCTGTCAAATAGCTAATAAAAGGAGGTTTTTGACTATAGATCCCCAGAAAACATGGGTGTCTAGTTAGGCAACCAGATCACCATCATGACAGAAACACCATGAACAAAAAAAAAAAAAAAAAAAAGCTTATTAAAATCCTTTGTACACAACTTTAATCTAATGTTCAGACTCAATAATCTCCAATAACTGGATAGATCAATGCCCTGTGCCTCCTGTTAGGACACACTAAGGTACAACATCACACTTGAGGCTCTGTCAAACAGGTGAAAGCTGAATTGAATTAGGAGAAAAGGCTGAGACAAAACCAAACTTACAGTCCACAAACACAACAGGCCTATATGCTTCAAAAATGTGAAGGCAATGAAAGGCTGAGGGACTGTCTTAGATTAAAGGACACAAGAGAGACATGACATTCTTGAAGGGGAAATTGCTACAAAAGATAATACTGGGATCCTGGAAAAACACGAACTTGGGCTGAGATATTAGATAACAGTATTGTATCAGATATCAATTTCCTAAATTTAGTAAGTGCCCTTCAGTTATATAAAAAGGATTGCTTTTTTTAGGAGATATGCTTTGAAGTATTTAGGAGTAGGGTCATGGTCTCTGCAATTTACACTCAAATGGTTCAGAAAAATAAGAATATCTTTCTGTGTTTTGGGTAATGTTAGGTATGTGTAGACATGCATTATATATGTGGGAGAAAAGGGAGGATAGAGAAGGGGGGAGAGAGAGAATGGAAAAATGTTATCACTGGGTGAATGTAAGTGAATAATGCATGGGCGTTCATTGTAATATTCTTGCAACCTCTCTGTAGGTTTACACTTTATTTCTTATATAAATAGAAAAATCTCTTTTACATACTGAAATATTTACAGATGAAATGCTATGGTGCTAGGATGTGCTTCAAAGTCATACTGAAGTGAAGCAGTGGGTAGGTCCATAAATTAAAAATTATTGAAGCTGGAAGATGGGTAGATGGACTTCCTTATATTACTGTCTACTTTTTTTTTTTTATAGGTTTAGAGATTTCCACAATATAATGTTTTTCAAAAATTCTTGCACAAAAAATAATGTTGCCAATCAGATATTTTCAGAAAACTATCCTCATTCATCACAAAGTTCATTTGGAGCTGGCTCAGTAATCATTGGTTTTTAGCATCTGTCTTCTGGTTTTCATATACAAAATGGCTTTGCCTGTAGCTTTCCCCAATCATTCTGTTCTCCTAAAAGAAGGCATCAGAAAGCCCAAAACCCAAATTAAGTCTTGGTCTCTCTTCTCTTTTCATTTTATGAGCGCAACAACATATATAATGTTAGGCCCTCACTACTGACCTATTCCATCAGGAGACAAACAGCAGAGGATCAAGGCATGAAAAGAAGCACTGGATACAGAATTTTCACTTTCAGGGGATTCTGTCATTGGCATCTCATACTGACACATATCCCATACATACAAAATTCTATGCTCTTTATATAGATCACATATTAATACATAATCTAAATATAGAACATAGATTAATCTATATTTTTCTATAGATCATAGATTATACACACATATATATTACATGATATAGACATTTGTACACGTAATATATTATATCATACCTATACAACATTCAACAAGCAGATAATAACAATCTCAATGTCCTGGAAACTGATGCTAACCAATTCCAAGTGCTTACTGCTGTAATGACACCAGATGGCTGCACCAGAGCAGGAGACTGGCACAGAGGAACCCTCAGACTTGGGTCCAAGACTTGGGAAGGTCAAGACAGGAGAATATAGAACAGCATGAGGCCCAGAAGGTTCTCCAACCCAGTCTACCCTCCTCCTTCAGCCTCCCTGCTTTCAATGCACACACAAAAGTGACCTAGAGAAGAATGCAAGGCAAAGATTGGGGTGAGTGGAAGAGAGATTGTCAGGGGGCTGCTGAGGCTGCTCAGCAATAGGCAATAGGCTTTAGGTGGGAGAAGAGAAGAATCCTAATAGGTTTGGTGTCTATTGGAGTAGAGGGCTTTCTGGAATATAGGCTCCTTCCCACCCAGGGAATGCACATTTAGAGATCCCCTCATGCAGAGAATCCCTTGAGGATGAAGGAGATGGGGGGATACCCAGGGGGTGAGACGGGGGCCTGGTTCCTATGGTACTTGAGCAATTATGTATCAGGTATTAGGGTGCTGGGAGCATTTGTGAACTGTGTGTGAACCCAAACAACATGGAAGCCATTAGACAGGAAGGTCTGGTCTCGGGAACTCCCAGTGGCAACCCTGCTGTTGAGAATGCCCAATTCATGTAACTTCGTACCTAGCTATGTCTTAAGTTTAGCACTGCACTGGAGATGGAGTGACCCGCTGAAGCCACACAGCCTCTCAGAGATGGGGGTAGCTTGCCAAGATGACAATCAACCCATTTGCTGCAAGACCCCTGCCCCTGAAACCTTATCCTTGCCTTTGAAGCCCTCCCCCTTGAATAAAGAACTGAATCCACGTTCAGTTGTTCAGTTCCAGCTCCTATCAGGACTGGAGACCTACCAGGCGCTCCACTTTTCTTTCATCTAATTTTTGGCTCTGGCTCTATTTCTTACTAATTAATTCAGACTTTCTATTCCTCAGGCAGCTCACACCTCCTGAGCAGGAATCTACCCTGTCAGGGTGCCGGCCACCTCACAATATTAGGGGCTTTGATGCCTCTCTTTAACACTTTGAGAATCTCCTTTTAAACAAGTGGTGAGACCTGAAATTTTGTTTTACATTTTCCTTTCCAGCTGTAACCTGTAATAAAGGCAAAAAAAAAAAAAAAAAAAAAAGAGGGGGGTGCGGCTGGATGGAAGCCCAGAAAAATCTGAAACAAAAATCCTAAATCTGTGTATCAAAGCATCGCTGTTGGTTTTCTATCATGGGACTGAGCATCTCAGTTACAGCAGAGGAAGGAGGAAGGGGTGGGAGAACAAGGTAAGGAGTTAGAACGAGAATTCAGATTTGGAGAGACCTGTATGAGAGTCCAATCATGCTCTGCCAAGGAAACCAAGGTTCACAGGGGGAAGAAACTTGCCCACCATCACTGTGCTGTACCCAGGACTGCAATTTAGATCCTGGGACTCACAGGCTAATGCTTTTCCCACAGTGGAACATCTTAGAGCCTCAATAAACTGCATTATTTCTTAAAAATTTAAGTCATCTCCATGTTTTTCAGTTCTCCACCAATATTGCACAACTTATTACGAAGTTTTGGGGCATCAAGAGCTGAAATCTAACACGAGTTAGTTTTGTTTTCCCCTTAGGAATAAAATTTGGGGGAGAGAGAGAGAGAGAGAGAGAGAGAGGAGGAGAGAATATGTTTTAAAATAAGACATAAAATAGGGATATATAACTGTTTATAATAAATTCCTCTGTCAGCTCTCAGAATCTTCAAAAGTCTATCAACCAAGTTAAAATGAGGTTCAATCTTATGTTTTAAAGAGATGTTTTGATTTTTTAAAAACTTACCTACAGATCTTTACAGGAGATGTTTTCTGTATGAAAGTAAAGACACATAATTAGTCTTCAAAAATATTCCCCCAAAAAACATTTCAATTAAGAGGCAAATAAATTATGAGCGAATTTATTAGAGGTTTTGCAAGCTTGCTACACTTCACTCTTTTTTAAAGCTTTTTCTGCTTGGACCAAATGAAGGATGACTCAGTTCCAGAGCTGAGTCACCTCGGCAAAGCACTTTCACCATTAGAATGTTTACCCGTGAAAAGCAAAATGATGTCAGGGCAACCTTCAAGAATCTTCCATACCAAGCAGAGGGAAACAAGAGAGAGAGAGATCGACGCCATCCATATCCATGTAGGAAAATAAATTAAGCTCTAATCCAACTTCTCTTCTAGGTCTGTCTCTTTATTTGTATTTACTTATTTTTGAGATGAGGTCTCACTACGTTGCCCAACCTGGCCTCAAACTCCTGGACTCAAGTGTTCCTCCTGCCTCAGCCTCCCAGGTAGCTGGGACTAGAGGTGCATGTATGCACCCTGAGCCACAGGTCTGTCTCTTCAAATAACTCTTTCATTTATCCACCTCTGCCTCTGAGCAGTCCTATAAAATGACCTGTGATAACGTGAAAATTAATAAACAGAAAAAAAGGTGAAGAGAGAGAGAGAACAAATGGCAGACTGAGGAATGGAAACTTTTCATTTAGGATTTCCTACAATGAATAAATTCTAATTTGGACTCAACCTTTATAAACTCCTGCCAATTAATCAATTTCACTGTATTCTTTGAACAGACGAAGGAGGGAGTAGCACAGATTCTTGTGTTTTATAGAAGAAACAGACAGGTAGGATGACAGATTTATTCTGGAGATTTCAGAAGGATCGTTTTGCGAGTTGGGGACAAATTACAATTTCGACACTAGTTCAGATAAAGTGTGAAGTATAAATATTGTTTAGAAGTGAGGCTTTGACAAGAGAAACATAAGCGGTTTGCTACCAAGCTATCTTAAGTGTGCAATTTTTACTAAATAACCAAGTTTTTGTTATTTTAATAAACAGATTCTATTTGTGTGCAAAGCAGTGGCTTGCATCCTTGGGATTTTTAATCTCTGATTTTTATCCAGTCTGGCATCTGAGTACAGGAAGCAGAGCCAGGCATGGCTACTCTGCCCCCTGGTGGGAACAGCTTTCATTTATCTAGCCTTTCGTTTATGCAGAGAGGATAACCACCGAAGGGCTCACGGTTCCTGCATAATTGTCCCCACTACAGATAAAACATATTTCTAAAAGATTCTGAGCCAAATGTAACCAAAATCTCCACAGTCTGGTGGAACAATAGGTCAGGAAGGACAGAGATTAAAGGGAAGTCCCAACTTTTTCATGAAAAACATGTTTGCCCAGTAACTATTGTGGGGTGTCCGTTGCAAGGCAACAAATCCATCCAGAGCCTGAAAGAGTTCCCCCTCCCACAGGGGACAGATTCTTTTTAAAATTTTAAACTCCTTCAGATTAAAAGAGCCCAGACAATGAAAACAAGCAATGGATTCGTTACTTAGCTCTCTTCTCCCAGGGCTCTGAAAACACCTGAGGACTTAATGTTACCTTTGTTTAGAAATAACCCAGTAATGAGTCCCAACAATAGCTCAGTTTCTGAATGGGCCAACACAACTCCTCAAAAGTCACACTGCCAAAATTAACAATAAGTGGCTAACATCACTCAGGGTTAGCTAACTTATTCTGTGCCCAGCACTACTCCTAAGGGCTCTGTATGCATTGACTTATTTAATTATGAGATAATTAATAGTTGTGGGTTATTTGTTCTAGATAAGGGCACCTGACTCACTGGAGAAGTTAGGGAAGTCATCCAAGGACATGGGGTTTGAACCCAGGCGTTCTGGTTTCAAAAATCTGACTTTTTTCTTCCAGTCTGCTTGCCAGGACACAACTGCTGGTCCTCTTAAGTCACCACCCTTCATTTGCTGCTTCCTGTGCCAGCCTGGAGCACCCTTTCTTCTTGTCTAACTAGAAAATCCCTATGTATCTTGTGTGTCTTGGCTCAAATCTAGCCCTGGGGAGGCCTTCCCTGCTCACTCCCAGAGGACTTGCTGGTGGTCACCTCCTGGTCCACCCACACCTCATCCCAGTCTGTATGGGCATCACAACTCACAATTACATGTCCGCTCAATGCTGAGTTCTATAAGGATAATCAATACCTCCTACACATCTCCAGTTTTAGGCCTAGCAAAATGTTTGCTATTTAGTGTATACCTAATAAATGCGAAACAAACAAAAAGCATTATTCTAATGTATCTGCAAGGTAGATGCTGAATTCCATGAGCCACACAGTACCTTACAGTCAAATTGTGTGTGCACGTATATGTGCCTACACAAAGAACAAATTGTCGATCGTGAAAATGAGCTACAGGTTCCAGATTGAGTTTATTCTCATAATCTGGGAACAAGGTCATGAGGAGGTCAACTTGACTTTCCAAAATGGATTCTATTCAAATCTACACACATAAGGGACAGAATAACATCGTACCATTTGACAGTCTGTGAGGTGGGGAGCAATGTGTTCCTTATGAAATGGGATCCTACATACATCAGGGCTCCCAGTCACAGGGTGAGGAACGTAAGTCACACCAAGCCTACATCCCAGCCATCTTCATCACAAAGCATATTTTAATGCTGAGTAGCCAGAAACCACCTGCGGGTCTGCAAGGAGGGACTGGCCAAAAGTATGCTTCATCCAACATGGAATGCTGACAGGAATATGGATTCCTGACAAAGTGTTAAACGGAAACACCAGGGTGGGTTTTACCCTTTGTGTAAATACATCTCTACATGTACATAGAAAAAAAAAGTCTGCTAAAAATACACGGGTTCCTTGGGGAAGCAGAAACAGTTGATTTCCAGAATTTTTTCTTCTGCTTTTCTATAGCTGATTCCATCTTGTATTTATACAAGAAACAAAAGCTTTTTTTAAAAAAATAACTAAAAAAAATGTTACCCACACAATTGTTTTCTAATTTTCCCAGACAAGAAATGAGGTTGATTTGCCTTACTAATGAAATGGAGTTAATTAATTCCAAGGACAGGTTCTCTCAGACAGAATCTTGGCCCCTGGCCTGCAGGGAAGAAGAGGGTCTCCTGCTGAATGGCAATATCCCAAGGGGACTCTCTAACCCCAAGTCCTACTCACCTTCATCTACAGGACTCGACTTGTCCATCAGGAAACAAAACCCTGAAGAGGTACCTCAATCCCACCCCCAGACCAGGTAAATCTTCATTTCTAAATTCGTAAAAAAGTACCACTCTCAGGACTAATTGGGCTTTTTGGAATCCGAGTGTCATGAGTCAGCCTCCTAGAGCTGAGCAGCTATCAGGGCGATGGTGAACCTGATCCTCAGTGCCTACTCGGTGATAGCTCAGCTTAGCACCACTTCTATAAAGACACCTGTCCCATGATCCCTGACCTTGGGAGGGCTCAAAGGAAGCCTCCTGGAGACACAGGGAAAATATTTCCTTATCTCACTGAACCTAAGACAACACTGATTATAAATGTCAGAAGGAAAACAATTACACCACATGATTGATTGTAAGAGTCTCCTGATTTTAGATTGATGAAAGCAAAAAAAAAAAAAGCACAGCACAGAACTGGTGAGATGGGGAAACTGCACGATGGTGTGGTAAGTAAAATATCAGAGAGAAAGATGGGAGACAAAAGAATATAATTCTAGTCCTAGACACATGGTTCTAATGATCTATGCAATTTTCTGTGACCTAGAAAAAGGCAAATAACTCCTCTGCTTATGTTTCTTCAACAGTTAAAATGTTTGAGTTGAATTAGAGAGTTCCCCATGGAAGTGTTTCAGGGGCTGCTTCAGGTTGCTGGGAAAGGTGCCAAGTGGACTGTAGCTCCCACCTTTGCTGGAACAGCTGCAGAGGAAAGGACACAGGCCCTACCTGACTGCCACAAGTGCTCAGGGGACCAAGTTCTCATCCCTCAGTCCTTCAGCTAGGCCACCCAAAGACAGAGGACTTGAACTAGGGTGACTGCGGCAGTGGGAATGGAGAAGAAGAGACAGACTCAGTAACAGACTGAAGGTAGGGGGGAAAGGAGACTAAGGAGTGGAAGGTACCCCTAGGTTTCTGAGTTGGGTGAAGATGGCCAGAACTGGAATTCCCACCTGAGAAGCATGATGGGAAAAGCAGATCCGTTCCATTGGATCCCTTTGCATTACAGATGCCTGGGGAGACCCGGAGGAAAACAAGCCATGGGACCAAATTAAACCACCCATAATAACACTGATCATCACAGCTGGCAAACAGAGCACCCACGATGTGCTAGAAACTGTGGGAGGCACTTACACATGCGTAGCTGTTGTTTTTTACAGATGGAGACCCCAAAGGTGAAGGGCTTGCTCTGGCGAGTATGAGATACAGCTAGGACTGGAAAGAAAAGCTTCCCTGGCTGAGCAAATGCTCTGTGTAAAGCCCTGCGGGCATTTTCTTGTGGTACCTGGACAAGCTAGGGGTGGGACTGCTACCAACCAGGCCTGGGCAAATTCCTCTTTGTCTCCTGAGGTTCTGGTTCAGCCCTGGTCTGGAGTCGAGCTGCATTCACACTAACAAACATTCCCACAAACATCTGATCCACTGAGCAATGTTAAAAGCAGGTTCCCTGCAATCAGTGACCACTGTCAGGCAATCTTGACTGGAAATTGGTGGCAGGAATGGACACTCATTGAGGGCGCTGAAAAGAAGAGTGTTTCTTAGAAATTTAAGGCTAGGGATGTGAAACTAACGTTCTGCATGATCACTTACCTCTTTCCAAAAACACTTCTGGTAGCCACAGATGATAACTTCAGCTGCATTATGCAAAATGAGAAACACAGGAACGGCCTGAAAGAAAACAGAATAATAAGCATGAAAATATTTTCTCCGATCTCATAGTTACATGATTCTTGATTTTTGTTTAAAAATAAAGATCTGTGGGAATGTCTGGCATTCCCATAGAGCATATCTCCAGCAAACTCTTCTGCATACATTGGCGCTCTTTGGGGGGCATTATTCTTGGTAGGGTGGTTGGAAAGGCTCCCCTCCTGTAGGTTTTCTCATCAAGAAACAGTTATTGCCAGGTGCAGTGATGCACACCTGTGATCCCAGAGGGGCTCAGGAGGCTGGGACAGGAGGATCAAGAGTTCAAAATCAGGGGCTGTGGCTCAGCGGTACTGCAACTGCCTAGCATGCATGAGGCACTGGGTTCGATTCTCAGCACCACATACAATAAAATAAAGGTCCATCAACAACTAAGAAAACAAAATTTAAAAAAACAAGAGTTCAAAATCAGCCTCAGCAAAAAGCAAGGCACTAAGCAACTCAGTGAGACCCTGTCTCTAAATAAAATACGAAATAGGGCTATGGATGTGGCTCAGTGTTCAAGTGCCCCTGAGTCCAATCCCTGGTACCAAAAAAAAAAAAAAGAAAAGAAAAGAAAGAAAGAAAGAAACAGTTATTAAGCACCTCCCGTGTGCCAGGTGCAGGGGACACATCACATGAACAAGGTAGACATTGCAAGGGATCCTGTCCCAAGTATGTGAGAGCTCAAAAGGAACACACAGAAAGGCACAGCTGACCCAGGCAGGGACAGCAAGTCTTCTTGAGGAGATGAAGACCCAAGTCCAAGTGAGAACTGGACTCACACAGAGGCGGGCAAGGGTCTCAGAGAGAACAGAGCAGAGGCCCAGAGAAACAAACCCAGCTCCTCCATGGAACTAGAGGAAATTGAGCATGAATGGAACATACAATAAAAGAAAAGCAGGAGGAGAAAAGGCAGAGAGCAATGACAGGCCACATCAAGGAAGTAGGAGCATCCATGGGCCACAAGAATCACTGAAGAATTTTAAGGTAGACTCAGATATGAATTGATCTGCATATTTAAAGGAACTCGGGGAAAGGAGACAGAGATGGCTGCAAAAGTCTAGGGATACCATAGACTGAGCCTCCACCCCCAATATATTCATATCCTAATCCATGGAACTTGGGAATGTTACTTTATATGGCAAAAGAGGGGAGGGGGTCTTTGTGAATTTAAGTAAACAGGAGATTGTTCTGGATTAGCTGGTGGCCCTAGATGCAGGCATAAGTATCCTAACATAAAGAAAGGAGAGTCTGATACACACAGTCAAGAAGCACTGGAACCCAGAGCCACTCAAGTGATGTGGCCACAAGCCAAGGAATGTTGACGGACACCAGAGCTGGAGGAGTTGAGGAAGTTTCTGCCCTAGAGCCTCTGCAGGGAGTATGATCCTCCAATGCCTTAATTTCAACTCAGTGAAACTGATTTTGGACTTATGGCCATATGATTCTGTTGTTTTTAGCCACCCAAATATGTGGTAATTTTTTACAGAAGCCACAGGAAACTGATACAGTGACTAGATGGTAGTCTAAACTCGGTGGTGGCAATGCAGTTGGAGAAAAGTGGCCACATCAAGGAAATACTTAGAATATGGAACTGAGGAAATATATGGATAAATGGGACCAAATCTGCACAAAGTTTAAAAAAAAGGAGGCAAAGATATAAAAAATATAACAGTGGGCTATTAGGACATGCAAGGATCCATTGCACATTCGCTAAGAATGACAGACTCTCCTAACTTGACAGGTTATCTTGACAAGGTGAGGGGGAAGGAGTAAGGGCAGGGGTTCTGTTATTGTCTTCATTACTGATGACATAATGATGTTTCAAGGAAGGCAGAAAAACACCAAGAATAAGAGCACTGTTTTGGCATCTTTCTCTTGTGGAGAAAGGCAAGCATCCAGGCTGCAGTTCCCTGGTAATGTGGGGATAACAGCTGGGGATGCTAGAAGGAACCACCGAAATCACGAAATCACTTTGGAGAAGGACCATGATCAGGGCTCAGCACTGTTCAGAAGATGGTAATCACTAATGGGCAGCTCATCCCATTGTTTCAGCTCAGAGGATCTGCTTCAAGATTATGCAGCTCACCTCCTTGCTTTATCTTTAGAGAGGATATATATTTACCTTGTTTTTAAAATTTTTATGATCATTTAGCTTCTGCTCTATTTCAGTATTCTATTCTACTTTGCATTATTTGTTTTTCTTTTTTAATTCTTTATTTGCATTTTTTCTTGCCTTTTAAAAAAAATGTCTTTATTTTTCATTAAAAGATCAACTCAGGGCTGGGGTTGTTGCTCATGATAGAGTACTCACCTAGCATGTGTGAGGCACTGGGTTCAATCCTCAGCACCACATAAAAATAAATAAAATAAAGGTATTGTGTTCATCTACAACTAAAAAATATATATTTTTAAAAGTTCAACTCATGGGGCTGGGGTTGTGGTCCAGTGGTAGAGTGCTTGCCTTGCACACATGAGGCACTGGGTTCAATCCTCAGCACTGCATAAAATAAATAAGTAAAACAAAGGTATTGTGTCCATGTTCAACTTAATTTGTTTTTTAAAAAAGCTCAACTCATTTTGATTTTTTCTTTTCAAAATCAGAGTTTATTTCAATCTTTTCTGTTTTGCATTTATCTTTTGTGCTTTTAATAATTCCTCTTGCATGTGCAAGGCCCTGGGTTCAATTCCAGTCCCACAAAAAAAGGGAAAAAAATTATTAAAGGGTATTTTTTTTAAAAGGTGGCTTTATCCATTAGGCCCATGTTTGGCAAGGTGGGCCCCAGGCATTCCAGTTCTTGAGAAGATGGCAAAGAAAGTCTTAGGTTAATCATGTGGCACATGAAAGTGAGTAAGCTTATCAAGTGAAGACCTTATTTGAAATAGCTTTTACTCCCTGGCTATAAAATCAGTAATGAATGGCTGCAGTTGTGGCTCAGTGGTAGACTGCTTGCCTAGCACATGTGAGGCACTGGGTTTAAGCCGCAATACCACATGAAAATAAATAAATAAGATAAAGACAGTGTGTCCATCTGCAACTAAAAAAAGGTATTTTTTAAAAATCAGTACTGAGATCAGATTTATAACTGAGACCCTAACACTACACCTACTCTGGACTTCAAAGAGGCTTAATTTTTTCAATTTTATGAACTGTAGACTATTCAATTTTTCTAGGCTCTACTCGGATCAGATTCTGGAAAACGATCCATCCCTATGTGTAGAATTGATTTTAAAGCACACTAATAGTAGCTGCCAACAATGTGTTAAGCATACGGTGCCAATGATTTATTTGCATTCTCTTATTTAAAACTCCTCCCAATAACTCCACTAGTAGATGCTATTACTCTGATTTTTAAAGACAGGAAAACTGAGGTGTAAAGACTAGGCCTCTTGCTTAAATTCTCACAACTGGTTCTGGGAGAGCTATGACTCTTGATTGCAAGCCGAGGCTCCTAGCCTTTATGTTATGTCTCTTAAATTATGTCAAGTCCCTAGTGAAAGCTTCCCAACTCTCCAACTGTCTAAAGTTCAATCTGATTGGTGTGTTCCAAATCCTGGCAGTCTGCTTATTCCAGTAAAACTGGTACAATATAAAATGGATGAATCAAGTAAAATATATGCCATTTTTAAAAGGGATACCTTCAACTCCTGTTTAAATTTTAAATCTGAATTTCTTAATCCATTTTTCCAACTGAGAAGCTAGCAGGCATTAGAGATAGCCTACAATTGACCAGTTACACTCTCTGCCTGTACAAGGGGCTACCAAAAACAGTATTAAGCCAGGGATGCTGGCATAAACCTGTGGTCCCAGCCACTCATGAAGCTGATGCAGGCCAAGCAAGGTGGTGCACACCTGTAATCCCAGTGGCTTGGGAGCCTGAGGCAGAAGGATCGTGAGTTCAAAGCCAGCCTCAGGAAAAGTGAGGCACTAAGCAACTTAGTGAGACCCTGTCTCTAAATAAAATACAAAATAGGGCTGGGGATGAGGCTCAGTGGTCGAGTGCTCCTGAGTTCAATCCCTGATAACGCCTCCCCCCGACCCCCACCCCACCAAAACAAAAAAGTCTTATGCATGCAGAAGGATCACTTAAGCCCAGGCGTTTGGGACCAGCCTGGGCAACATTCCAAGAACCCCATATCAAAAAATGAAAAGGCAAAACAACAGTATCAAAGAAAGCAGGCAACTTCACCAAGCTTTCTTGGCTTCTAATTGCATAGGTCCTTGTCTGAAGTGTGTTACATTAGTTCAGAAGACCCTTTAGTAACTGATTCTTTAGGATACCTGCCATTATCTCTGTAGAGTTCACTTCAGCAGGGACTTCTGTTAAACCAAACAAAAATCCTGAAAAATGATAACAGCAGTAGTAGCAGGTGAGACACATTGAATGTTTAGAACATACTAGACACTGATCTACCTGCTTTCACATATTTAAAATGCATAGTGACTCCACAAATTAGCTACTATTAACATCCCATCATACAAATGAGAAAACTGAGGCATCCATTCTGGTTCCCCTTTCTAACCTAAATGTCTACTTGCTGCTAAAGAGAACGGAAAAATAAGTATGTGCTTCCACAATATCAAGAATCTTGGAATGCCCTCAACAACAAAAGGTACAGTCATCCTTCATCAGGAAAAAAAATGACCCAACATCAACCACTGTCAAGCTCAAATCATCATTTTTGACATAAGTCTGCCAAAATGTAATTGGCCATATTTGACTATATTGCAGGTCAATTCATTGAATTACTTAGGGGCACAATTAACAACTAATTTATTCTTTAGAGTGCATTAGCTTAAAATTTAACATTTCATCTATGTGCTAATGAATTTTTTTCGGATATGAGAAGAAAGTGGTAACTATTCCTTAGAAATATTTCATTATTCTCATGCTTCTCAGATGGAATTTTGAAGCCTTAATTATTTGTTCAGGTGTTGGAACTAACCTAGAGCAGCGTTCTAGGGGAAACTCTGGCCTCAT